CCGCCACCTCACAACAATATCTTCCATGACTCAGAATATCATCGGCATCCATGTCGCTGAGTCTACCTATCGGACCAAGTTTGACCGAGTACTAGTGCTGCGCCCAGTATTGGTGGGGGATTATGGAAAGTCAAAATAGTGAACATAATCACGTAATTGTTTCTACAAGGCAAAGATGGCGTACAACGGTGCAATTCCCGATTGTCCCTTGAATCGGCTTTGCAAGGGTTAGCTTCGCCGGGTTTCCTGCGGTGTGTGAAAGGGCGGCCGTGGTAAGATTGGCGCAATTTTCATAGCATAGGACAGGTACGATGACCACCAGACGAGTGCCGCGGGCAATGACCATTGCGGGGTCGGACTCCGGAGGGGGCGCGGGCATCCAGGCCGACCTCAAGACCTTCGGGGCCATGGGCGTGTTCGGGACCTGCGCCATCACCACGATTACGGCCCAGAACACCATCGGGGTGAACTCGGTGCTGGAAACGCCGACCGAGATGATCGAGGCGCAGATCGACGCCATCGTTTCAGACATCGGCGCCGACGCCGTTAAGACTGGCATGCTGTCGAGCAGCGAGATCATCCGGTGCGTGGCGGAGCGGCTGGGGAGACACTCCCTCAGTCCGACGGTGATCGACCCGGTGATGGTGGCCAGCACGGGCTTCCGGTTGCTGAGGGACGACGCCGTGGACGCGATGCGCACGGTGCTGATCCCGATGGCGACGGTGGTGACGCCAAACAGCCGCGAGGCGGCTGTGCTGACCGAGCGAGAGATGAACACCGTCGACGACCTGAAGACCGCGGCCAGGATGCTGGTGGACGAGATGGGCGCGAAGAACGCGGTGGTCAAGGGCGGGCACCTGGACGGGCCGGCCACCGACGTGCTCTACGACGGGTCGGACTTCACGCTGTTCACCTCCGAGCGGTTCGACACACCGAACACCCATGGGACGGGCTGCACGCTGGCGTCGGCGATTGCCGCCGGGCTGGCCAAGGGGTTGGACGTTCCCTCGGCGGTGCAGCAGGCCAAGGACTACGTGACCGAGGCGATTCGCACCAGCTTCGGTGTCGGGCAGGGGCATGGGCCGCTGAACCACTTCCACGAGCTGTGGGAGCACAGGAGCGACTAGCCGAAGAGCCGCAGCCGCTGCGATAGTACAGCCCGCTCGTCCTCCGTCAGGATCAGGAGAGCGGGTTTCGATTTTCCCCATTCGGGTCAGGGGTTCTATCCCTGCTAGTGGTTTTCGAAGATTTCCTGGAACTGGGCGACCCTGGCTACGGTGGCGGCGCGCTCGGCTTTGGTGGGGTTGCGTGGGTCGCGGGCCCTGGGAAGACGTCCCAGCTTGAGCATGGCGGCCATGAGCAGCAGGCGGGCCTTGTTGCAGTCTAGGTTGCTGCCAGCGATGGTCAGATCGTCCCAGCCGCTGGGGACGCGACCGCCTGGGTCGGAGCGGCCGACGCGGGCGACGGGCATGCCGCTGAACGTCGCGACCTCCAGGGCCCTGTGCTGGGACATGGAGGCGAGGCCGTAGGGTGAAGAGCCTTCCAGCACGAAGCCGTGCAGCCGTGGTGACTGCGGGTCGCTGCTGCCCTGATCGGCCAATCCCTTGGCGATCCTCGCCATGATGTCCACTTCGTTGTCCGGATTGGCGGTCTCGTCCTCGTCCATGTAGGCGCCGTACTTGACGATGTGGACTCTTGGGACGGCCTCCTCTCTAAGGGCGCCGCCGTCGTCCTTGACGGGTACACGGACCGTTGCGCTGGCATCGGCGTATTCGGGGAACTCCAGGCTGTCGGGGAGCTGGGACAGGTTCACGTCGGAGCTGGCGGTGTGGCGGTAGGCGGGCTTGTACCAGATGGTGACCGGAGGGCCGACAGTTCCGAGGATGCCGCCGTGTCCGCCGGTGGCCTTGTAGTTGCCGGGGCGGTCGTCGGCCTTCTTGAACTCGCGGGCAGCGTAGATGCGCTCGTCCTGGACGCCGACGGCTCCGATGCCCGATCCCTGGCCGGAGACTATCAGGTCGACGGCGTCGACGATGTTGCGGTCGCCGTCGTTGGCGAGCTGGCCGTGAGTGCGTTGTGAGGCGCAACCGGCGAGGGCGAGGTCAGTGTCGATGAGCAGGCTCAGCCAGTAGATGGTCTCCTCGACGGTGGGGCTGCCCTCCAGCCAGATGCCCCCGGCGTAATTGCCGCTGGACAACGCGGCTCGCACTGAGTTGGTGGCCTTGGCGAGGTCGCGGTAGCGGGGGGAGCGGCGGACGGCCAGGGGGCCTGTAGGGGAAATAGTCGACGCCGGACTTCTCTCCATTCCGGGTGTAGCCGGCGGGAGGAAGGACGCGGATGAAGTCGAAGTCGGCCCTGCGGTCGAGGGTGCTGCCCTCGCCGGACTCGTCGCGGCCGGATATGGTGCGGTCGATCTCGGCGAACATTCGTGAGGCGTCGGGGTAGAAGAACTGGCGGCCGCCGTAGTTGAGGTCGGGGTCGAAGAGGTCGGCCTCCTCGAAGGGCTGGCCGTGGCCGGAGCCGTTGGCGCGGCGAGCCACGTAGGGCAGGGGGTAGGGGCCGTCCTCGGGCCGCAACTCGACTTCGTAGTAGTCGTTGCCGTCCTGGTGGTAGACGGCGGCGGAGTCCTCCTCCATGGGGTGGCCAGTGTATTTCCTGATGCGGACCACGACCGGCTCGTGGAGTTCCTGGGGCACGAGGTGGTCGTAGCGTCCGGGGAGGGCGCGGTCGCCTAGGAGGCGGCCCTTGTTGCCGGTGACCAGCGTGGGCGAGTTGGCGATGGTGGACCTGGGGCCTGAGAACACGGCGATCCTGGCTCTGTCCATTTCTCCTCCTCAAGGCAGCGCTGCGGGTTGGCGAGATTACCGAGGCGGGGCAGGGAAATTTGGAATATCCCGATCATTTCCGATCATTTCCGATCATTCCGGCTGGAGATTACATCTGCGTACGTGTGCTCCGGTTCATGTTCCGGGTTGCCTCGAGATGCGGATTCGGCCACTCCGTAGTCCTTGTCGATGATGTTCCAACCATTCTGTCAGTGTGCGGCTGGCGCTGCGATCGACGAGAAACCTCACGCTCTCACTGAGGACATCCGGCCGGGCGGTAATTTGTGTCAGGAGTTCTTCATTTCCGGTGGTCATGGTACTCTCCCGTACTCGTGTGAACCGGCCTTTCGGATATTACGGCATTCTTGCCTTGATTTCTCGTCTCTGGCGCAAATGCAGCAGGTTTTCTCCGTTTGTCTTATTACCTGCGGATGTTTCCTTCGACCGGGATTGTGCTGCGGCCCCAGATTACCCAACCGTGTACCCCGGCCTCAATCAGGTTGAGGCAGGGTCTGTACCGGGGTGATTTTGAGGGCCGCTATCAGAGGCAAAGCCGTGTCAGGGGTATTGATATCCCTGACATTTCCTGCCAAATCCTGACATTTTGCGGTTTCGGCACCGTCCCGTTGCCGACCGGGTTGGAGGTAGGCCCTGCTCCGGGGTGGCGGCCGCGCCGGAGTTGAGGTCGCGGCAGTCAGCCATTGGTGCGAGGGTAGACGGGGGTTTGGATTCCCGCCTGCGCGGGAATGACGACTTATAGGGCCTCCGGCGTTTAAGACGCGATTGCCGGGTTGGAGGTAGGCCCTGCTCCGGGGTAGCGGCCGCGCCGGAGTTGAGGTCGCGGCAGTCAGCCATTGGTGCGAGGGTAGACGGGGGTTTGGATTCCCGCAGGCGCGGGAATGACGAGTTATAGGGCCTCCGGCGTTTAAGACGCGATTGCCCTGTTGGAGGTAGGCCCTGCTCCGGGGTGGCGGCCGCGCCGGAGTTGAGGTCGCGGCAGTCAGCCATTGGTGCGCTCCGTGCGTCCGTCGCGGTGTTGGATTTGCGGGTCATCCGGGATCGTTCACCCTATTCGATGGTAGAGGGGTGTCATGAGGCTTGGCAAGCGCCTTCTGTCAGCAATACAGGGTCATTTAATTCTCCTCCCTTAGCGGGTAAGGCCCGGGTTGGGGGTGAATTCGCACGTTTCGACACCCTTGGATACAGCGGGGGGACGCCTCCACCCTAACTCTCCCCCGGGGATAGGGGATTTGTCACACACTCTTCAAGGGAATTGCGGCTTGAGAGACGAGCCTGGTGACGGAGGCTGTCAGGATGCCTATTTCGGAGGACGAGGGAGAGAGCGAGGGCAGGCAGGGCGGCCAGAACAGAAGGCCGAATTTTGGTGTCGCAGCCTTGTTGACTAATGAACTTATGTTCTATAATATCTTCCGACACCGGCACCGCCGGACTTTCCCACCACGGAGATACCAACAGTTTGAAAGTCGCCTGTGTATTCATCACCCACCTGCGGGCCAAGGCCGAAATGCAACGGCATCCCGACCTCAAGGACCAGCCCGTCCTCATCGCCGACCGCACCAAGTCGAGGCCGGTGGTGGTCGACTATTTTCCGGCGGCCACGGCGGTTTCGACAGGGATGCCGCTGGAGCGAGCCCTGTCGTATCAGGCCGAGGCCATCGTGCTGGAGGCGGACGAACCCCACTACCGCCGGGTGTTCCGGCAGGTTCTCTCCGCCCTGCAGGGCATCAGCGACCGGGTGGAGGACGCTGGGCTGGGCGTTGCCAACGTGGCCCTGGATGGGTTGGAATCGATGTACGGCGGGGAGGAGCGGCTGGTGCTCGCCCTGCTGAACGCCGTTCCGCAGAACCTGGCGCCGCGGGCCGGGATCGGCGAGGGCAAGTTCCCGGCCCTGGTGGCCGCCCGCAGCAGCGATCCGCTGAGAGCCGCCAAGGTCCCTGAAGATGCCGCGGCCTTCCTGTCGCCTCGTCCCATCGCCCTGCTGCCGGTGCCCGAGAATACCACATCCGCCCTGCACCGGTTTGGTCTGCACACCCTGGGGCAGGTGGCGGCCATGGATGTGGACCGGCTGGTGGACCAGTTCGGCCAGGAGGGCAAATGGATCTGGAACCTGGCGAACGGACGCGACGACCGGGCGCTGATGCCGCTGGAGTACGAGGAAACGCTGACTGAGGAGACCTCGCTGCCCTTCTCCTCCACGTCGCTGGAGATGTTGGTAGTGGCGTCGGAGACTCTGCTGAGGCGGGCCTATGCCCGACCGGTCATGCGGGGACGGTACGCGGGACGGGCCGCACTGGAATGCCCGGTGTTCGGCGCGGCCCCGTGGGAGAGGATGGTCAATTTCCAGGAGGGTGTGGGACGGTGGGAGCGGGCGGCCTTCATTGTGCGCAGCCGCCTGGAGGCCGAGCCGCCGGAGGTCCCGGTGGACGGGATGGCACTGACCCTGTCGGGCTTCACCGGCGAGTCGGGGTCGCAACTGGGCCTGCTGCCCGACGTGCGGGAGGACCGGCAGACCCAGCTGATGGAGGCGGAGCGTCGGCTGCAGACCCGGCCTCAAGGCCGGCACGCTGCACGCTATCGCTCCGTGCCGGCGGTTAAAACTATAGGACGGCAGCCGGACGAAGGGGACGAAGGTGGAGAGCCGGTCAAGCGTCCGGCGCTGTACCGGGTGGTGGAGGTTGCGCCGTGGCACCCGGCGCCGGAGATGCGGGCGGTGCAGACGCCGCTGGACCCGCTGGGGGGCGGGCTGCGGCCTCTTCTGTCGCCGGAGCCCGTGATGGTGAGGGAGGACCGGAACGGGCTGCCGCAGGCCATCAGGCAGGGGATCGGGCCTAAAAAAGACAGGTCTAAAAAAGACGGCTGGCAGCAGGTGGCGCGCATCGAGGAATCCTGGACCTTTGACCTGTGGTGGTTGCCCAAACCATTGACGAGGACCTACTACCGGGTGGAGCGGGAGAGTGGTGGGCAGGTCACCCTGTTCCGGGACCAGCATGAGGACTGCTGGTACCAGCAGGGACACTAGCGCCGGGAAGTGTTTGCGGTGTTTGGCCGTTGCCCCTAATTTCACACGACATCGAACTCTTAAGTTTGGAGGTGAACGATGAGGAAAAAATGTGCACTCTGTAAACAGCCTGTTGAGAAATCCCGGTTGCTAGAAAGGCTCGTTTCTATGGGCTTCAATGTGTCAGAGATATCGAATCAACTTAGCGACATGGAAGAACATATGGCCCTTGCTCATGGGTTCAACAGAGCATACAAGGATAATCTTAGTGATGGTGTAGCGGAGGCATATTACCGAATAGTAGGTGAATCCGTGGAAATCGCAGGCAAGACTTACAGGTTTGGAGATTACATAGAAATTAGAGGAGGTAAGGTCGTGGTTCACGCACCTGGTGGGATTTATCCGAACAACGACAGCATAGAACTGAAAAGGCACTATACGGGCACAATCCCTTAAGCAAACGAAATCACGCCAGGACTTTCTAATGTACGGCGGCTACGTTGAGCTTCACGCCAAGAGCTTCCACTCCTTCGGGGTGGGCGCCTCCCACACCCACGAGCTACTGGCACAAGCGGTGGAACAGGGTTACGGCTGCTTGGCCCTGACCGACACCAACCTGTGCGGGGCGCTGGACTTCGCTCGGCAGGCCAACGGCCTCGGACTCAAGCCGATCACCGGCGGCGAGCTGACGCTGACCGACGGCTCCCGGCTGACCCTGCTGGCGAAGACGCGGGAGGGTTACGGCAACCTGTCGCGCCTGTTCACGCTGGCCAACGCCGCCGACCGCAAAGAGCCGCGGCTCGACCCGAGGCTGCTGGCCGAGCGGGCGTGCGGGCTGGTGCTGCTGACCGGCGGGCGCAACGGGCCGCTATCGGGGCTGCTGCAGGAGGGCAAGATTGTCGAGGGCAAGCAACTGCTGTACGACTACCTGGACTGGTTCGGCAGCGACTCGGTGTACGTGGAACTGCAGCAGAACTTTCTGCAGGGCGACGCCCGGCGCAACCGGGACCTGGCTGCCCTGGCCGACAGGGTCGGCGCGCCGGTGGTGGCGACCAACGACGTACACTACCACGTGCCGGAGCGGTACCGGCTGCAGCACGCGCTGGTGGCGGCCAGCCACAACACCACCATCGACCAGGCCCTGCGTTTCATCCAGCCTAACCATCACCTCTGCCTGAAACTGCCTGGGGAGATGGAGGAGCTGTTCAGCCACTGGCCCGAGGCCATCGTCAACACGCGTCGCATCGCGGGGATGTGCGAGTTCGACCTGAGCGCCGACTTGGGCTACACCCTGCCGGACGCCGATGTGCCGCAGGGCTACACCCCGGACAGCTACCTGCAGCAGCTCTGCTACGAGGCTGCCACCCGGCGCTACGGCTCCCTGACGCCGAAGGTGGCGGAGCGGCTGCGGGAGGAGTTCCGGCTGATCGAGCTGCACAACCTGTCGGGCTTCCTGCTGCTGTACCGGGAGATCGTGCAGATCGCCCAGAGAATCATGGAGGAGCGTGGGCTGTCGCACCCGGAGATCCCGCTGGAGGAGCGGCCACCGGGCCGGGGGTCGCGGCTCGTCGGTGGCGCTGCTGGTGGGCTACCTCATCGGCATCAGCCACGTCGACCCGCTGCAGTGGGACCTGACGCTGGAGCGGTTCATCTCCGACGACACCAGCCTGTTACCGGACATTGACCTGGACTTCCCGCGGCAACTGCGCGACGAGCTGATCCAGCGGGTGCACCAGCGCTTCGGGCCGGACTTCGCGGTGCTGGCCGGGGCCGTCTCCACCTACCGGCTCAAGGGCGTGATCCAGGACTTGGGCAAGGCCCTGGGGCTGCCGCGGGACGAGCTGTCGCTGCTGTCGAGCCAGTTGCAGTCGCAGGACGCCGGGTCGCTGACGATCGAGATGAGAGAGCTGCCCGCCTTCCACGAGCGGGTGGACGCGCCCGGCTGGCGGGACCTGGTCGAGCTGGCGCCGCAGCTGATCGGCGCGCCCAAGGGTCTGGGGCAGCACGTGGGCGGCATGATACTGAGCAGCACGCCCATACCCGAGATGGTGCCGGTGCGCGCCGGTGCCATGGAGGGGCGGTACATCATGGACTGGAACAAGGACAGCGTGGCCGACGCGGGGTTTGCCAAGATCGACCTGCTCTCGCTGCCGGTGCTGGACCAGCTGGAGGAGGCGTTGGACATGATCGAGGCGCGCGAGGGGCATCGTCCCGACCTGTCGCGCATCGACCACCGGGATCCGGAGGTCTACGACCTGATCAACCAAGGCAAAGCGAAGGGGGTGTTCCTGCTGCAGTCGCCGGCGCAGCTCAAAATGGGGCAGCGGCTCAACTCCCGAGACCTGCAGGACCTGGCCTACCAGGTGGCGCTGATCCGCCCCGGGGTCGGCGTACAGGGCAGCGCCGTCTCGCAGTTCGTGGAGCGGTACCGGCATGGGGCATCGTGGGACTACGATCACCCGCTGGAGGAGCGGGCGCTGGCGCGGGGGTTTGGCATCATCGTGTGGCAGGAGCAGGTGGTGCAACTGGTCATGGACGTGGCGGGGTTCACCGCGGCGCAGGCCGACGAGCTGCGGCGGGCCTTCGCGCGTCCGAACAACGCCCACCTGATCGAGGGTCTCTGGCAGCAGTTCCGTGAGGGGGCTCGGCGTAACGGTGTGCGTACCCGAAGACGCGGCGCGCAGGGTTTTCGCCAAGCTGAACGGGCACTACATGTTCCCGGAGTCGCACTCCCACGCCTTCGCCATCACGGCGTACCAGGCCGCTTGGCTCAAGCGCTACCACCCGGTGGAGTTCTTCGTGGGACTGATCAACAACCAGCCCATGGGCTTCTACCCCATGGAGACGCTGAAACAGGACGCTCGCCGCTACGGGGTGCCGTTTCTGAACCCCTGCGTCAACCGGAGCGAGGTGGCGTGCGTTCCCGAAGACGGCTCGGTACTGGTGGGACTGCGGTTCATCAAGGACGTGGGACCGGAATCGGCGAGGCTGATCGTTGCCGAGCGGAAG